CCAGCCAGCCAACGTTTGGTGGGCAGCCCTGCCCTCTTCTCCCAGCCGTCCTGGGCCTGGGAGCTGCCAGTGTCCACTGAGCTGCTGAGTGTCTGTTACTCCAACCATCTGCCGCTGCAACTTGAGACGCCTTGGGAAAAAAAAATGGCAGGAAATAAAAGGAGAGGAAAGAAAATAGGCAACCAGATGCTATCTCCACAAAGCAGAAAAAACTTTGTGAAAGTTCTTCTTGACAGTGTCGAAGTTGATCAACGAATCCGGGGTGGTAAAACCTTACCACGACAACCTGTATCAGAATCAGAATCAGAATGCCTTTATTGTCATTGTGCTAGCAGTACAACGAAATTGCAGCCGTTCCAAAGCAGTGCAAAGAGCAAAGAAATAGTTACACAGCATGAACATAATAAAGAACAGCAGGATATACAAAGTATAAAAAAGTATAAAAATATAGTTAAAGTATAAAAATAAAGTAAAAAAAAAATAGGTAGGAAAATAGTTATGTACATGTGTATATAGAGAGGATATATAATACACAAGGTAGGGATGAGGTGGGTTATTGCACATGGATAAAATTGCACATATATGAAAATTGCACATATGATAGTGAGTAATTGTATTGCACATACATAAATAGATAAATAGTCAGACGATACCTGTTTCTCCTGGGTATAACTTTCCCACCTCTTGTCTCTTTGTCGTCCGTCTCCTCTTGTGTAATAATAATAATCCAACTGATTTTTTTCTTTTTTTTTTTTTATTGTTATTATTATTTTGTGAAAAATGACAGTGTTGCGGAGCGTGTGTGTGGAGCCGTACACCTCCATCACCATCACCAGTAAGGTGTCATTTTCTTCCCGTTCCAGTTCTCTGCTGTGAATACTGTTTTTAAACCTTCCATGTGTCTACGTCATGGGAGAAGAAAGAGAAAAAACAAACAAAAAAAAAACGCTTTTCTTTTCACTACAGCATGTGATTCCTGAAACGTCTCATTTGATTTGAACAGTTGCATTGTGGGTTTTTTGTTTTTTTTTAATGTTGGTGAAAATCACTGGATGTGGATAATCTTGGTTTGGGGAATGGCCACGTGCATGACAGAGCATGATGCTTGGTCCACAGAACAATCAGGCTGAGGTCCAGTGAACTCCGACACGCCGTGTCTAACCAGCTCTTCCTCCCTCTCTCACCCCCCCTCCCTCCCTCCCCTCCCCCTCTCCATCATCCCTGTGTGCTGTTGTGTTGTTTGTTTGTTTCCGTGGACAAACTCTCGCTGCCTTTCTCTCCCAGGTTCCTTCACCGGCAGCACCAACACGGAGGCCGGTGCTCAGGCATCGAACGCTGACGCCACCGTGGACCAGGTTTCTCCAACCATGCCCCGCGCCACAAAGAACCGAGTGTCGGGAAAACTGCGGCGGTCAGCGAGCGCTATTAGCAAATCTTCCAACTGAGATTTTCAGCCTTTTTTTTTGTTTGTTTTTCTTTCCTCCAGGAGGTGGCAGCAAACAGGAAGTGCTGCCACTTCCTGTTTTTTTTTAAGCCCAAACTGTTTCTTCTCTGATACATCTTGTGTCATATAAACATGAAAACTGGAACTAAATGCAAATTTTAAATCGTTGACTATCGGTGATACATTTCTATAATTTGTGGTGTTTTTAACCGTGTAGACAGGGGGCGCACTTGAAACCAAGCTGTTAGGGTTCTTTCTGGGGGGGGTTTAGAACACGCGGCATAGGAAGGGTTAATTTCACTGCTAGGTTTTAGTTCAACACATGTAAAAATCAAGTTGTTTTTTTTTTGGGGGGGGGGTTTATTTTTCTGAGCGCAGTGATTCCCAACCGCTGTGCCGCGGCACATTATCGCGCTTTTGAAAATGATCCGATTTCAATCAAAATAATTAGTACTTTCTTGTTAATGAAACTCTTCGACTAAGTGGAAGCAAAAGAAAAAAAGACGAAGTTCTGTGGAAGACGTTTTTTGTGTCTTTCTTCAATTCCTGTGTTCAACTAAACGGGCCCAGGTTCACACTGAAGGAAATTTTAGAATGAATTAAAATCACAATATTTTATAACCAGTAGTTTTTGTGGCATTATTGTTTGGTGGTGCATTATGGGATTTCTTTTTGGGTTTTTTTTTGTGCCGCGGTTCAACAGAGGTTGGGAAACGCTGCGTTAGCGAAACATCATGTTCCTGCTGTGGTTCCTCACCTCGGATCAACACTTAATGCAACAAAAGGTCACTGAGGTCGCGGTCCGTTTGGACGATGTCTCCGCCTTCTGACATCGCCGCTCAACTGCCAGAACTTTTGCACGTCTCGGACACAGAGTGGACACAAAGCAGCCGTCGGCTGACCGTCCTCCTGGAGACATCTCTGTGGTGTCTCTGTGCTGTCCTTCTTCTCTGGGCTGGGTTTTGTTTTTGTTTTTGTTTTGTTTTGTTGTTTTTTTAATCACTCTAATTTTCCATTTTAAATGGATTCCGATGGATCGTGTCATGATTTGATTTATGCAGCTGCAGCGGAATGAGAAAAGACTGCGATTGTAATTGTCTTCAGACGTCGTTAACGTGGGCTCACGTCCGGTAATCGAATAAGTTCCTGCTGTCTCTTTCCTCGGCCATCAGTCCTCCTGTCCACTGAGGCTCGGACATCGACATTCCGACGTTCCCAAACGTCTTTTTTTTTTTGTTTGTTTTTTTGCACTTGCTGTCATTGATTCGGTAGAATTTGTGTCTCGCTTTAAATTTATTCCCTGACGTTGTTTGTGTTTGACGTAGAGAGAGAGAGAGAGAAATATCTGAGGAATTATTTTAATGTTGTGTTGGTTTTATGTTAGTCGTCTGCTGTTAGGAGCAGGAGTGTCACCAGAGCTGCAGGTGAACCTGAACCTGTGTCTGAGTGTGTGTGTGTGTGTGTGTGTGTGTGTGTGTGAGGAGCGCTGTCTCCCACCACCTCCCCTCCCAATAATCACATTTTATTTTCTCCTCTCGGCCGTGTGAGACAAACCATGACCGCCCTGCATCACATCTCCTCATTAACGACGTCAAACACACACACACACACACACACACACACACACACACACACACCCTTCTTCCTCCCCTGTGTGTCCAACGGTCAAACGTCTCGTGCTTCCAACAACAACACCAACAACAGATGGACGTGGAGTCCTGGGCTCCTCTGGATTTAGTCTCCTCCGTGCTCACTCTTCATCCCTGAATGGAATCGAGTGGCATCGACTCCTCCTCCTCCTCCTCCTCCTCCTCCTCCTCCTCCTCCTCCTCCTCCCTTTTCCCATGATCCTCTCCCTGTATCGCCTCCTAGCTCCCTGGGAGGGGGTTTGGGCGTAGATGACATGCCAGAGCTGAACTCGAACGGGACTCCTAGCAACCGGCAGGCCGCCTCTGTCTCCCTCCTCCTCCTCCTCCTCCTCCTCCTCCTCCTTCTCCAACCTGCTCCTGCTGTCATGGCAGCCAGGTGTTCCACACACACACACACACACACACACCCTCTGAGGACTCCACCCAGGCTGCACCACACTGTCCCCATCTGTTGCACCACTCTGCCTTACTTTCCCCACGCTCTCCTTTTGTTTCGGCGTTCCCTGGAACTCCAACAGCAGGAGTGAGAAGGTTCTCCAGAACCTAGAACCCGGTCTGGAGGGTTCGACCTCAGCCGCGGTGTTGATGTTGTTGATGTAAAGATGGTCTGGCAAAAAAAAAAAAAACAAACAAAAAAAAAAAAAAAACAAACAAAAAAAAAAAAAAAACAAACAAAAAAAAAAAAAAACAAACAAAAAAAACAACAAGTCTCTGTTCCTGGAGACGTTAGTTTGGACCAAACCCCGGGGACGGTGTGTCCCTCCCACTGAAGACGACGTGGAGCCTCATGTTTGACGTCCTGTGTTTTCTTCTTCTTCTTCTTCTTCTTCTTCTTCCTCTTCTCCTTTTTTTAGAAATGCCTTCTCTGTCCTGAGTAAATGAATGCCTGTAATATAATCTTTGTATAAGAGAGAGAGGAGAAAAAAGCTTGAAGGTTTCGTGCTGATCTGTGGACATATCAAAGTGTTTTTAAATGAGCGATCTTTATTAGAAATATGAAATATGATACATTTCATTAAATCAATTTGATCTGACCTCTGCTGAGTGTGTGTGTGTCTGTGTGTGTCTGTGTGTGTGTGTGTGTGTGTTAGCCTGGGCTCTCTGACCCTGGTCTGGCAGCAGGGGTAACCTGACCCTCGTCCCATCTGTCTCTCCTGCTGCTCGTCTCGGCGTAGAGGAGGCCCAGATAATGGAAACCCACCAGGAGGTTGAGGTGGGGCGGCCGCCGCACCTACGGACGCCCTGCCTCACCTGGGCCACATAAAGACACACAAAAAGCACTTGACTTGTAATAGAAGGACACTGTGTGTCTGTGTGGAGAGAGAGAGAGTGGGGGAGAGAGGGGGGAGACGGAGGTGAGGTGAGGTGAGGTGAGGGGATAAAAGCCCATTGTTGCCTCGTCATCTTCAGCTCACCGACTGTGAGACGGTTTGGAACAGAACATCCAGGGTTCTGACTGCTTCACTCGCTGTACAGATGATGTCTTCACTCCCCCGTCGTCGTTGCTGCTGAGTTATAACCAACCCCTGTCTCTGTCTCTGCCCCCCCCCCTCCCTCCCTCCTGCCCCCCTCTGGGTCGCATGGGGTCAGACATGCAGCCAGCTGGGCCGGGACGTGTCCTAAATCAGGCCGAAGCTGACAAGAAATGTAGAGAGTGTGTGTGTGAGAGAGTCCCGCGGAGACAGATGTTTTACTGCGGCCGAGGTGAGACGTGATCGTCCACCTTTGTCCCCCCCCGTCATGTCCTGACACCGTGTTAAGGAAGAAATTTACGCCCAGGCCTCGGGTGCTCCTGTGGGGCAGAGAACCAGCGTGTGTTGAGCCACCGCGCCGCCACTGCAGCTCATCTCCAACCAGGTCACTGTAACAGTGTGGACGACGAGTCCTCGTCAGGGTCCGACGTCCAGCTGGGGAGCGTGTCTCACTGTCACGGCAGTGGTGTCAAACTCCCGGGGCAGGGCCCCCAACATCTGCCTCATGACTAGATGTCGATAATAATTTTTATTTAGCCTTTAAAGTCATTTAAATTTAATTTCAAAAATGTTTTTCAAAAATGAAAATGCTTCAGTTGTTCTGGCAGCAATGGACTGTAGTTGTAAAAAAAAAAATCTTTAGAAACTTTCTATATTTTTTAAGTACTTTAACACATCAGGTGTGTTTGTTTTGTAGGTATTTGTAACATACATTAGTATATTTGTATTGAAGTACAGTATCTGTAATACCTTTAAGGATTACTGACGTCTGTTCTTAAACATTTATTTATTAAGTTCATTTTTGTTTTTATTATTTTTAAAAAGCAACAAAAATCCCACCGGTTCGATGTTTTTGTTCGACTTTTCTGAAAGGTTTTTTTTTCCCCAGTACCTGTTAAAAACAATGACATCATGACGTCGCTTGTCCTTTTGAAAATATTTTTTTTTTATTATTTTGATAGACAACAACGATATACACATACAATCAAAGCGCTATAAAAGCCAACATTTAAGAAAAATAACTTGTCCTTAAAAAAGATTGCATCTAAGTTAAGAGCTTATTGTTTTTCTTCTTCTTCTTCTTCTTCTTCTTTTCTTCTTCTTCTTCTTCGTTTTTTTTCTTTTTTTTTTTTACAAGAGCTGTGGAGATTGAAGATTAAAACCTGACCCACGTTTACGACAAAAGCATCACAACTCATGAACCTGACAACGAATTTTTAATTTAACAACAAAAAAAACAAAAAAAAAATTTAAAACAAATATTAAATTAAAACCATCAAAAAAAAAAACAAAAAAAAAAAACGAGATTTTGGCTACGACATGTAAACTGCCAGAACGATTCACAGGAGAGAGAGCACCACAAACACAACAATAAGTTACGTTAAAATAATTCCAATAAATAAATAAATAAACATATGATGGAAAATATTGCAACAATCTTCAATATTAATAATAATAATAATAATAATAATAATAAAATATGTGCCAGCATTTCAAAAAAAAAATTCTTTTTTTTTTTAAACAATCTATGTGTTGACTTTTTAAGGCAGTTGTACAGCGGGAGTTGGATGTGTATGTTGGGCTAAGTCCACACTATAGGCTTCTGTGTATTCTAAAGGCATTTGTGGTTCTACTAAACAGGGAATGTTCCACTCAAC